AGGACAGTAGCTCATTCACCAAAGGTTACCACGGCAACTACAACCAAGTTCGAGTTGAATGTTGGCAACGCAGTGCAACGGATGCACTTTTCATTAGGTATAATATAGGCTTATTGGGATAACAAAATGTTTTGAAAGGTCGGAGTGGGAGGTCCTGAGGTATACCGTGGTGAGTGTTCTGTTTTCCATTACTAGCCTAGCAACCAAAAATAGTTTTGCTTGGACTGTATATAGTTCATCCACGCCAGGATTAACAACCAGTTGAACTGCACCCAACATATAACGTCGGATTTCTTAGATAAAACGAGTTATTCAGGAAGTTAAAAGCAGAAACTCCCTGTCAGAAGTAGTATTGCTGTGAAAAGAACACGCATAAATAGGAAAACATAAAAGAAGACATTTCTTTAGAGCAAGCAGACGGCGGGAATCATCGATGACCACGGTTGGGACACTAAAGTAGAATCGCAGCAATCTTCCGACCAAGAGACAAAAGGATTCGACAGAGAGGGACATCAATACTTTGGTAAGTTTATACACAAAGCCATAATGTGCTAGTTAACAAGGTCAAATAATGTACTTCAGTGAGTACATCACAAGCGCTAAATTCGACCCTGGTCCTAGTTGCTTTGGTAACCTTTGATGAATGAGCTATTGTCACTGACCCAACAAAACGACAATGTGAGCCTCAGCTGTAGCGCACGCAAAACAGAGCCTCGGCCTTTGTGATTGTCCAGTTAGGTCTAGTTTAACTATCTCGCGCGGATCGCAAACGCTCCCTCGGCCCATCGAATTGACGACATCTGTCAGCGAGCTGGACAAGATGCAAAACAGCGATCTGACTAATTTCCTCACAGTAAGAGCGTGATAAGACAGATGATCAATCAGCGGGTAGATTAGACGTGTGAACAGTTGACCAATGAGTTGCCAGGAACGTTTCTTTCTCCAATCAAACTTGAAATGGTATGGACGAACCGGAAACGATCACGAGACAACGTGCATTAAAATGCGGGAAGTTTGGTTAACCGAGAATAGTATAGCAGTATAGTATAGTATAGTATAGTATAGTAGAACAGAATAAGGAAGTGGGAACAATTGGTGTAGCTTTGCAATAGCTTCGCAACATTTATCCCAATGATAGTTACCGGCCATTACACGGCGGGAAATCACTGAATCCACCTCGAGTTTATACCCATGCACTCGGTTTCTGATCTATGAGTTTTAGAATGAGTTTTAGCTAAATTTGGAAGTATCACTTTTAATGAATATAGCCCAAGTGTTTTTTTTTTCATTTCGATCCCAAGAGTTCTTTTGGTTTTTATGCTCTGATGAACTGAACGGTTCTTTGGGCCGGGAAATAGTAAACAGTAAAATGTCAAATCAGAGTGTCATCGATTCTCACTTGTCTGTATTTATGTTAGCAGATGATAAACCCGGTATATAGATATATAGCATTATATGTCTCTCACATTGTTTTTGGTTTGATTCAATGGTCGAACTAAAGATGCACCACCTTATCACATCTACGGTTAGGTTCATATTCTGAGACGTGGATAATACACACACACGAGCAAACATCGATCGGTAGAGGCATGCTGAACTGTCGTGAATTCCGTTATACAGACACCGGATATCTAGAGATCCTTCCCGATCGAACTAGGCCCGTCAAAGCTAAAAATGGGTGAGCGATCCGAGGGCACCACATCCGCTAATGTGTGATTTTTGAACAGACAAAATCGCCGAATACCGCAGAGCTTTGTCAGCAGAACAGATCCGGTATCTGAGATGAAACATTTCATTCACCTTGGGATGCAATGCAGGTTGGAAGTCTATACTTTTGATGAATGGAACGTATTCTCGACAAATCAGTGCCAATTTCGACGGCAATGTTGTAAAATGTGTAACTGGTGGAGTGGGACACACACATAAATGTGTGAATGGAAT